GATCCGCAGGAAAGCTTCAAGGCCACCTGTCAGGAAGACAGGGATTTTGCCCAGAGCACGTGAGCAGCAGAACTGCCTGTATTTTTGCCTAAACTCTTCAAGGTTAGCACTGTGGTGAGGACAGTAACAGGGTGATTCAGACGCCCCTTCAGAGGCATGTAAACTGTCTACAGAGTGTATCTTACCCACTTTTTTTGCCGTTTAGCTCAGAGAATCCATTAGGGATTACAATATATTGTTTTACATGCTAGCATGTGTAAGAAATAGCCAAGTAAATAAACGTAAGTGTCTGAAAAGTATGTGTACAAATTCTGGGCAGAATGGGAGTTTAAAGACAAGGAATAACTCAATTTTGAGGCTATGCTTGCACAAGCTGCACTTTTGGACAGAAACAAAAACTTCTCTCACCTGCCATCCATTCTGAAATTATATTACAAAGCTGTGTCTTGAACTCATCAGTATTGAAATGTGATCTTGGGAAACCAGAGCAGAAGCAAACGTACAAGGCTTGACTCAGCAATGAAGGGAAAGCCTAGGAGTTAAGTAAAGAAAATCACAACTCCATATACTTTTTAGCTGAGACCTGTTCTTAGAACAGGCACACTGTTCTCTTGAATGACAAAGGTCTGCATTTCAACGAAAGGAAAGACTGCTTTGAATACTTAGCCCGAGTATTGACAGAGTTATCAGTGCCCCAGTTCTCTAGTTCAGAAAAACTTTTACTACCTATGTAATCTGAAAGTTTACATATTCTTTATTTTGGATTAAGGTATACCTGAAGTTTTAATTAATGTAGGCCCCATAATTTAAAAAGGTACAATATTTTTTTAAAAAAAACTTCTTTCTTTACATTCTTTACAGAAAATCAGATTAGCATAAAGAAAGAGAAGAACTGGACTGTTAGTATAGATATTTAGAGCATTTAGGAGACAATAACTACCTCGTCTGAGGCAAAGAATTTGAAGGAAAAACAAAACAAACAATCAAGACCCAGGGAATAAGTATATAACTGCCTAAAAGAGTAGGTGAAGGCATAGTTCTTGGAGGACAGAGAGAGCAGAGGTCGGCAACTAGAAATGAAAATGGTGTTTTCCCACCATATTATTTTATTAAAAGCGTTCTTATTCAAAACACAAAGGCACGAACTTTCCTGGCTATCACTAGATTCAAACTGCAGGGCTACCACCCATGATGCTCCAATATGCACAAAAGTTAACAGTCCAGCTGAGAGTTGGATATCAGGATTCTTGCAAAAATCAACTTACAGTATTAGATTACCCTGGGGCGATGGATTTCTCCATCTCATTTCATTGTTTGAAATACAGCTCTTTTTGTTTTCTTTGGCTATCTACATTCACCTCAATGAAGGCCTCCTGGTGGTGGAACTGGTGATAGTCAAGGAGGAGGAAAGCATAATTCTTTGCAATACGATCAAACAGCTGTTCCTCTATCTCTGGGTTTGGCTGTCATGAAAACAAGAGACAACTGCAGAAAAATGAGGTGTTTCTTTATCAGAAGGGGCTTAGCTGACTCCAGCGTGCCAAGGAGACAAGAAGTATCTCAAGTTAAAGAAATTCATTGAGCGGGGGAGTAATTTCACTATGCCCCCCCAAAAAAAAGTTTTTAAACTTGATTTAATTTAGCCCATCAGTAACTGTAACAATTTTTAAGCAGCAGAGATCAAAATAAACATTCTCTGACATCAGAGTAAGCCTAGAGTGAATCTAGTGAATTTTCTAGTCACTGGGATTTCTGTTATTATGACTGAGAACAAAATAATCTTACAATATATATGAAAAACAAACCAACTGAAATACACTATAGATTTAAAAGCAACTCTGAGGCCATCTAAGCTATAGATTCTGGATTGCTCTTGGACTGAAAAAGCCTAAAGAGCTGCAAGCTGCCAAAAGCAGCTTCAATCTATTCCAGAATTTCCAGAGTGCCATGTGCTCCATGCACAATGTTGCATCATAGTGCTTCAACATTATGTAGCATCACAAGTCAAACTATCCCATGGCAGGAAAATAATGGAATATACTGGAAAGCAATGCTAGAAATAGCAAAGATCAGCTTGCCTTGATACCTACCTGATAGAAGTGGAGAAAGAGCCACCAAAAGCTATCCACCAGAATAGCCCGGGAGACTGGTGCAGTGAGAAAATTCCACAATGTTTTTGTAGGAAGTAAAGACTGGAAAAAAAAAAGGCTTTTTTTTTAAACTAGCTGCCTTTTTTAACCAGGCTGCCTGGCTTTTTCCAAGTGATAAATATACCTTTCCACTTGAGGAATTTATCTGGGCACGCACTGTTTTCTCCACGACATCTACGAGCTCTACCCCATTTGGCAGTGGTGTCAGTTTATCCTTATTGTATCCTGGATATTGGTACGTTTCCACTGTGCCCTGTTCTGAAGTACTCTAGCATTTTGGGGGTGGATGGGATGGGAAAGAAAGAAATGACACAAAAAGGAAATTTCTAACAGGTTCTGATAATACATAATCTTTTTTTTTTTCTTCTGTGCCCCACAACAAGACTCTGATGAGACTTGTGAAGTAAGTGACAGTAAAATTAACATAAAATGCTGTTTTTTTAGAGAGCATTAACTCTTTTTTACTTTTAATCTCTAGGATGCATATGAGAGGAAAGAGATGCATTAGTCACCTATTACATCTTATCTGACTGATAATAAGTAGATCACTTCGCAGTCAATGAGTTGATACAGGTTAGCATTCTTGCACTTTATAAAAGCATCTCCAAAAACAAAGTTTAGACCTCAGTTGTCCCCAAAAGATCTCCTAGAAAAAAAAATGGGACTCAGATTTTTTTTCCCAAGAAATGCATCATGTACAGAAGGAGGGGGAAGGATTCTGTCTCCTCTTGAAAACAGGTTAATCACTTGTGAACCTGACCTGAGGCAGCCCGTCAACATCTGACCCATGCAAAGCGTGGCCGTACTTCTGCATTAAGCTACGTGTTTTCCTTCTGCGTTTATCTACAGAGAAAAGAAAAGCCTGAGAATACTGAGGACACAGCAGGACATATTAGAGAGCAAATTCAGATCAATCATAAATAATAAGGCATAGTCTCCCTTCGGCTGTGCCATGTGCCTATTCTGAAATATAGTGGGGAGTATTTAAGGAAAAGTGGGTGGAACACTGAACACCCCGGTTTCCAACTATGAAAAAAAAAAACAAAAACAAACAACCACACAGAGAAATGGGAAAGATCTTTGCTAAGGTGACCTAACCTGGTACTTTAACACGCAGCTTGTTTACAGTATTGGAATATTTATGACAGGTGTCAACTTATGTTGTATATGTCACTAGATTTTGATAACTCATAGTGTTGTAAGCAGCTTTTTCTTTCCCCCCTCAAATCATCTCCAGAAAGAAAAAGCAAAATTAACACATCAAGATTATATGATAAACAATAAATATTTCAACACTAATTGGGACAATTATGTTTCCAGCAACAAACAGAACAAAATTTCTTGGTTTACATGCAAAGTGACCAAGCTGTGCCTCTGGCTTTGTCACAGATTCACTGCCAGACCCTGAATAAATGAAATAGTTCAACTTACTACAGCACTTAACCTGTTTCCTGCAAAGAGAACTCATGCACACGACTATGCGGAACACAGAGATGTTGTTGGCTTATTTCAGTTTGGAAGTAGACAGTAGAAAATAAATACAGGATTCCTCTAGGAAGGTGAACATTAAGATCCCTGTATACATGGCAATGTATGTCCTGACCAGAGCTCCTTTATGCCCATTCATTTTCTCAGTAACAACCCCCTGAAGTATCTATTATAGGAAATATATGTGCCTTTGTCTTTGGGTGTCTCAGGGAATGTCTCCTCTTGTCTGGAGCTCTTCTTCTCTGAGTATCTCTTTGAAAATTCAAGATGTTTCATTGCCTTTGACAACAGTAAGAAAAAATGAAAATGAGCATTAAGAGCTCGGTTCCTCTGTCATGTGTGGTCTGTGACTATCAAAAGCACTTATATTAGCTACTTTTTTTTTTCCAGTTCAAAACCATGACTCTATATTCTCACAATCTTCTGGGATTCTTGCTCTCATTTTATTTCTAGCCATTGATCTTTTTATCCTCCTATTCAAGATATGCATATAAAAGTTGATAAAAGCCACAAAATCTCTATTTAGAGCTGCAAGTTTTTGCCTAGTTTTAAGGCTTTTGCTGTAACCCCCTCTCATATAAAGATGCTTAATTTCCAGTGCACAGATTTTAACACACAGGGCTAGAAGCTCATATATTCTAGTACGCTGGGCCACTATTTTAAAAGCATATGTCCAGGAAGATTTGTATTGTTATCTAGACTACTGGAATACACTGTAGCACTGGAGATTTTCCTTGTCTGTAGTCACCAGATTGGCATTGTGGTAGCTTTCAAATTCTTGTTCTGAGTGAACAATTTTCTGGTTCACTTCAGCCAGAGTGCCAATGGAGCACCCTGAGAATGAAAAGACCGTTAAGGAACATTGTTGTGAAATATGAATAAACGTATAAACCAAATGGAAAGGCTGGAGACCCTCCTGTCATATTTTCTCCTCTGCTTCTCAGCACTTCTATTTATTCCCTCTCCCTCCTTTTGCTTTCCTTAGTATGTGCCTTTCAGGCAAGTCATTAGCCTGCTATCTCATTAATAAAAATGAGATAAAACAACCAAGCAAAGTTGGCCCCGTTTCTTCTGCTGAGCAGGGAAGCTCTGCAGCCTGCCTGGGACATCTAGGCTGTTTCAGAGGAAAGCAGAGGAAAAACAAGCGTCTGCTTTTTCCGAACTCCCTAAGCGCTTGGAGTCCAGAAGCCCAAGCTCCCCGGACGTCCCTACGCCGCCTCCATGTTCCCAAATAAGGAGATTCTCCCCGCTGAGGATACCCGCCGGGGCGTCCTCCGCACCCTCCAGCGCGGCCTCCCACAGCGGCGGCGC